CCTCTCCTGTTGCGGAGCACAGTCTCCAGACGCACAGGCTCAGCGGCCATGGCTCACGGGCCCAGCCGCTCCGCGGCATGTGGGATCTTCCCAGACTGGGGCACGAACCCGTATCCCCTAGCATTGGCAGGCGGACTCTCAACCACTGCGCCACCAGGGAAGCCCCATTTGTATCATATTTTAAATTCCACATATAAGTGATCTCATATGCTATTTGTCTTTCTCTGTCTGACTTACTTCACTTAGTATGATAATCTCTAGGTCCATCCATGTTGCTGCAAATGGCATTATTTCATTCTTTTTTTATGGATAAGTAGTAGTCCATTATGTATACATATACCACATCTTCTTTATCCATTCATCCATTGATGGACATTTAAGTTGCTTCCATGTTGTGGCTATTATAAACAGTGCTGCTATGAACATTTCAGTGCATGTAGCTTTTTGAATGAGTTTTCACCTTTTCCCAATATATGTCCAGGAGTGGGATTGCTGGACCATATGACAACTCTCCTTTTTTTTGTTGTTTAGTATATACATTGCTGCCAGCATCTTTCGGTTTTTTTTTTTAGATTAAAACAATTTTTAAATTTACTTTATTTTTTATTTTTGGCTGCACTGGGTCTCCGTTGCTGCCCATGGGCCTTCTCTAGGTGCAGCAGGTGGGGGCTACTCTTTGTTGCAGTGTGCGGGCTTCTCATTGCGGTGTCTTCTCTTGTTGCAGAGCATGGGCTCTAGGCACACAGGCTTCAGTAGTTGTGGCGCGTGGGATCAACTGTTGTGGCTCGCGGGCTCTAGAGCACAGGCTCAGCAGTTGTGGCGCACGGGCTTAGTTGCTCTGAGGCATGTGGGATCCTCCCGGACCAGGGCTCCAACCTGTGTCCCCTGCATTGGTGGGTGAATTCTTAACCACTGCATCACCAGGGAAGCCCAACAACTCTATTTTAAGGAACCTCCATACTGTTCTCCATAGTGGCTGCACCAATTTACATTCCCACCAACAGTGCAGGAGAGTTTCCTTTCCTTTACACACTCTCTAGCAATTATTTGTAGACTTTTTGATGATGGCCATTCTGACCGGTGTGAGGTGATACCTCAATGTAGTTTTGATTTGCATTTCTCTAATAACTAGCAATGCTGAGCATCTTTTCACGCGCCTATTGGCTATCTTCTTTGGAGAAACGTCTATTTAAGTTCAAGTCCCTTTTTTTTTTTTTTTAATTTTTTTTTTTTTTTTGCGGTACGCGGGCCTCTCACTGTTGTGGCCTCTCCCGTTGCGGAGCACATCCGCGGCATGTGGGATCCTCCCAGACCGGGGCACGAACCGTGTCCCCTGCATCGGCAGGCGGACTCTCAACCGCTGCGCCACCAGGGAAGTTCCCAAGTCCTTTTTAAAAAAAAAAAAAATTTTTTATTTATTTCATTTATTTTATTTTTGGCTGTGTTGGGTCTTCGTTGCTGCACATGAGCTTTCTCTAGTCGTGGCGAGCGGGGGCTACTCTTCATTGTGGTGCATGGACTCTAGGCACGTGGGCTTCACTAGTTGTGGCTTGCGGGCTCAGTAGTTGTGGCGCACAGCCTTAGTTGCTCCGTGGCATGTGGGATCTTCCCAGACCAGGGCTCGAACCCGTGTCCCCTGCATTGGCAGGCGGATTCTTAACCACTGTGCCACCAGGGAAGCCCTGAAAAGGGGGCCCTTTGTGCACTGTTGGACTGTAAATTGGTGCAGCCACTATGGAAAACAGTACGGAGGTTCCTCAAAAAATTAAAAATAGAACTACCGTAAGGCTTCCCTGGTGGTGCAGTGGTTAAGAATCTGCCTGCTAATGCAGGGGACACGGGTTCAAGCCCTGGTCCAGAAGATCCCACATGCTGTGGAGCAACTAAGCCCGTGCACGACAACTACTGAGCCTGTGCTCTAGAGCCCATGCTCCACGAGAAGCCACCGCAATGAGAAGCCCGTGCACCGCAACGATAGCAGCCCCCGCTTGACACAACTAGAGAAAGCCCGCGCACAGCAACAAAGACCCAATGCAGCCAAAAATAAATTAATTAATTAAATAAAAAATTTTAAAAAACCCTACAATATTTCAAATAAAAAAAAGAAAACAAAGAAGAAACAGGCTGAATGGCCTGAAGACAAGGGAAAGGAGGTGGCAGGATTTGTTGTTAACTGAGAGAAGGGAGAGCTACAGAACCAGCACATCCACTAAAGGCACTGGGAGTCAGGCGCGGGCAGTCACAGCCTCCACCCTTCCCACACCCAAGGAAGCTTGACACTTCATTTGATCTCAGCCCCATCACTGCTCAGGAGAGACTCTGATATCAACCAGTCACCAACAGCTCAGGCACTCCTAGGGATTGACCTGAAACTCTGAGCGCTTCTCAAGGCTTGCTCCCCCACCTCATTCAGGCCTCTGTTCAAATGTCACTCCCACAAACAGAGACTCCCTCATTACCTTTGCTAAAAATAGCTCCCTGTCAACTCCAACCCTCACCCTGGTTTTCATGGTTCTTCTATCGCTGCCTAACCTTTTACTATATATTCACTGTTTGTCTCCCTCACAAAAACATAAGCTTCTGTGGGCAGGGACTGCTTTAGTCACTGTTGATCCCCAGCACCGAGAATAGGGCTTGGCACCCAGTGTGAGCTGATTAAATATCTGCTGAATGAATGAAAGAAAAGAACTTCACAAAAACAATGACTTGGACTTCCCTGGTGGTGCAACGGTTACAAATCTGCCTGCCAGTGCAGGGGACGCGGGTTCAAGCCCTGATCCAGAAAGATCCCACATGCTGCAGAGCAACTAAGCCTGTGGGCCACAACTACTGAGCCTGCGCTCTAGAGCCTGCGAGCCACAACTACTAAGCCCGTGTGCTATAGGTACTGAAACCCACGCACCTAGAGCCTGTGCTCCGCAACAAGAGAAGACACTGCAGGGCTTCCCTGGTGGCGCAGTGGTTGAGAGTCCGCCTGCCAATGCAGGGGACACGGGTTCGTGCCCCCGTCCAGGAAGATCCCACATGCCACGGAGCAGCTGGGCCTGTGAGCCATGGCCGCTGAGCCTGAGCGTCCGGAGCCTGTGCTCCGCAACGGGAGAGGCCACAACAGTGAGAGGGCCCCGGTCTGCCAAAAAAAAAAAAAAAAAAAAAAGAATACACTGCAATGAGAAGCCCGTGCACCGTGACGAAGAGTAGCCCCCGCACACTGCCCTAGAGAAAGCCTGCGGCAGCAACGAAGGCCCAACACAGCCCAAAATAAATTAATTAAAAAAAAAAAACAAACCCATAACTTATGGTCTTAGCATGGACCCGGGTAATCTTGACCTTAGATTTTGTTGTTGTTGTAAATTTATTTAGTATTATTATTTTTTTATTTTTGGTTGCATTGGGTCTTCATTGCTGCGCACAGGATTTCTCTGGTTGCAGCGAGAGGGGGCTACTCTTTGTTGCGGTGCGCGGGCTTCTCATTGCAGTGGCTTCTCGTTGCGGAGCACGGGCTCTAGGTGCATGGGCTTCAGTAGTTGTGGCACGGGAGCTCTAGAGCGCAGGCTCAGTAGTTGCGGCGCACCAGCTTCGGTGCTCCGCAGTATGTGGGATCTTCCCGGACCAGGGTTCGAACCCGTGTCCCCTGCACTGGCAGGCAGATTCTTAACCACAGCGCCACCAGGGAAGCCCTTGAGCCTAGGTTTGAGCTCAATTTTGTTAATACGTTGCTGTGTGGCTTTGGGCAAATCGCTTTACCTCTTTGGGCCCATACTGCCTCACTCCTGAAACAAGGAAGTGGATCAAGAAAGAACTAAAGTCCCCTTCCAACTCTTTACAGTCTGCAAAACAAAGATCTGATTATCCTACCAAAGGCAATTTGTTACTAACCACCGGTTGGTTCAGATTTACCTCAGGATCAACACATTTTTAAAATCGAAGTTGATTGTATTCAAGAAGTCCTGGGCTTCCCTGGTGGCGCAGTGGTTGAGAACCTGCCTGCTAATGCAGGGGACATGGGTTCGAGCCCTGGTCTGGGAGGATCCCACATGCTGCGGAGCAACTAGGCCCGTGAGCCACAACTACTGAGCCTGCGCATCTGGAGCCTGTGCTCCGCAACGAGAGGCCGCAATAGTGAGAGGCCCACGCACCGCGATGAAGAGTGGCCCCCGCTTGCCACAACTAGAGAAAGCCCTCGCACAGAAACGAAGACCCAACATAGCAAAAATACATAAACAAATTAACTCCTACCCCCAACATCAAAAAAAAAAAAACAAGAAAAAAACTCACCTCATACCTCTGGCAGGAAAAGAGGAAAGTAACCATTAAAAAAAAAAAAGAAAGAAAAAACAGAAGTCCCTCCTCTAAGCAGAATAAAGCTGGGTAAACGGCAAATGGAGACACCGTGTGACAGCAGCGCCGTTTTGCTCTGAGTAGAAACAACTGCACAGCCAGAAAGGGCAGAATGATGGCCACTTTCCCACATTCTCTGAGGCACCAAGATCCCACAGGTCAACATGGGAAGATAAGGCCCGCCCTCTGAAGGGGATGGATGAGTGGATGGTGAGAGGAAGAGAAGTCACAGGTAGATACGGAGAAAGCAGGAGCCCTGAGCCCTGGAATCCAGACACCCCCCCACCCCCGCCCAGTTCTGCCTTTTACAGGACCTCAAACGACTGCCTCTAGGCTCTGGGCCTCTGCCTCTCACCTACGACTTCCCTCATCACTGATGGGGGTACAACCCTGTTGCTCCTGAAAGAGGCAACTCTCGGAGTACCCGGACCGGAGTCCTAGGCCTCTGCCTGTCACCAGAAACATTAAGTACGGTACGGGGCGAGTTCCCTCGGGTCCCCTGAGAGGCTCACGTCTTCGGGGTCTTGCTGCTGGTGCGGAAGTCACGCCCCAGGTCCCGGAGGAGCGGCGCCGGCGGCCCCCGCCCGCCAGGGTCGCGACCCCTCAGCCCAAGCTCGGAAAAGAGCCTGCGCCTCCACCCTTGCGGCCCGGCCCGCGCTCACCGCCTTCTCCAGGTGGCTGCGCGCCTGCTCGCTGTTCTTGGTGTGGTGGTAGAGCACGGAACCGAGCTGCAGGTGTGTTCGGGCCTCAATGCGCTGCGGCGGCTTGAAGGGGAACACGGCCTGCAAGCAGTGCACACACAGGCGGATCTTGGGCGGGCTGGAAGTGCGGAAGTGTTCGGCAAAGCCCAGGAGCGCCAGGTACCACGACTCAGCCGCCTCGGCCTGCGCTGCCTGGGCCGCCGCAGCTTGAGCCGCCGCCGCCGCCTGAGCCGCCATTTTGGCCTCCCCAACAACAAGCTATCGCCACAGGGAGGCGGAAGCAGGCGCGCGGGGCGGGGCCGGGAGCGCCTCGCGTTTCTCGCGAGAGCTGCTGTACAAAGCATCCTGGAACATGTAGTTTGTATTTGGAGTGGCCGCGGCTCCGGGAAGGTCTGAGAAAAGGCGACACCCTCTGGTCCGCGGGACTGTGACCGGAGATTTCCGATGGGCTGAGGTTTGCATTCCTAGGCTGAAGACCCAAGGTGTCCAAGCAATGGCAGGGCGTGGCTTGCCAACGCGGACTACATCTCCCATCAGGCCATGCGTACTATAACAAGCCCCCCCCCCCCCGCCACCACCACTCCCCCGCCCCCGGTGGCGCCGGAGCATTGTGGGATTGGATGAGTCTCAAGATGGACAACCGGGATGTTGCAGGTAACAGCCCCCGCCTCCCCGCAAGCGTCTGCCTGGGTGTTCGGGCTATGAGTCTTTGCTTAGCCCTACCGTCGGGCCTACCTCACCCCGCCGGCCCTTAGCCTTAGTCTACCGGTGGCTGGAAGAGGCGGCTTCTGCACCACCCCCGTCTCCCGAGACCCCAGACCCAGTTACCCTGCCCCCGCCCCCACACCGCTGGTTTGCTGAGGACGCCAGGCTTTCCTTAAAGGCCGCCACCGGGATCTGCCCTGCGCCTGCTTTCCGAAATAACCGCCTTCAGGGCTGCTCTGAGCTCCGCTCCCCGAGCCAGTGGCAACCTTGGGCTGTCCTGCGCCTCTTCTCGTGGCGGCTTCTGACTGGCCTGAATCCCGCTTTCTGGAAAAGCTGTTTTTCCGAACTGCACTCGGCCTCCCTGTACACATTTTCCTGGGTCTTTAGAGCCCCTACGTTACCACAAGCCTTATTCTTCCCCCACCCCAGCCCTAGCCCCCCGCCAGACTGGGATACATTGAAGAAATATTCATTGTGTGCTAGGCACTGTGCTAGTTGCTGAGGATGTAGTGTAACCAAAACGGGGCCATGCCTTCCTGAAGGCCACTTTCTACTGGGGCATCACAATGCACAAAAAAGGAAATATTTACAGAGAGTGAGTTATAATGATATGAGAGAGTGGAGGTGCAGGTTGCTGATATTGGGTGGTCAAGGAAAGCCTTTTTGAGCAGAAGATATTTGAGATGAGAAGATGCCAACTATTGGAAGGCCTGGAAGGCAGAGCCTTCTGTGCAGAGGGGGACAGCAAGTGCAAAGGCCTTGAGAGCTTGTCATTTTGAAGAATGTCAGGGATGAAGTGGAAGTGGGGAGGGGAGCCATCTCTGGCAGCGTCTTGAAAATCGGCTTTCAGAATTTGGATTTTATTTTGAGTCCCATGGGGAACGTTCGAGGTGTCTTCTCCATCTCCACAGCTACCACCCTTGTCTGAAGACATCATCATCTTTTGCTTGGAGCCAGCAAGCCTCCTCGTTGGTCTCCTTGCTGCCTATGCACTCTGTCCAATCAGTAGACAGAATGATCTTAAAAATAAAAATACCAGTTGGATCTTATCAGCTTAATACTCCCCAGTCACTTCCTAAAACCCTTTAAGTAAAATTCAGACTCTCTATCTTGCCCTACCCCCGCTAGCCCTACCCCTGGAACCGCCTGCTCTGACCACATTGGACCTCTGCTTCTTACTCTGCCCAGATCACTCCCCATGTGGCTTTTCAGGAAGCCACCTCTTTATCTTTCTAGTTTTAGCTTAAATGTCCCCTTTTTTAATGGTTATTTTCTGGCTGCCCTAGCTGTATAGGTGGTCCTCTGTTATGCTTTCTCATCTTTTTTTTTTGTTTCCAGCAGAGAGCTCTTATCATGATTTTGCAACTGCTTTTTTGTTACAAGTCTTTTGTCTCCTCAGCCAGAGGTGAATCCCACATGGGCAGAGGCCCCTTCTGTCTTGATTAGCACCAAGTACAGCATCTGGTGCATAACTCAGTAAATGTTTGCTAAATAAATGAAGGAACAGATGTGTGAATGTTAATCTGAATGTCAGTTGCTGCAGGCAGCAGCATCTGGGCTGCTCCCATAGCAGCTGCTGGGCATGTTTTTGGAGCAAAGGTGATTTCTGATGTACTTCTTTTCCCTCCCCAGGAAAGGCTAACCGGTGGTTTGGGGTTGCTCCTCCCAAGTCTGGAAAAATGAACATGAACATCCTTCACCAGGAGGAGCTCATTGCTCAGAAGAAACGGGAAATTGAAGCCAAAATGGAGCAGAAAGCCAAGCAGAATCAGGTGGCCAGCCCTCAGCCCCGGCATCCTGGCGAGTAAGTCTACCCTGAGGCTGGATTAGGGTCTTCGAGGGTCACCAGCAGAGGGTTTTGCTTGCGAGAGTAGTCGAGGTGTTTCTGCATCTAGCCACAGCCTGATGGTGCAAGGAGGAACGCAGGTGCACTTTCAGGAGGCTCTGTGGCAGGAGAGAAACAAGGGGTGTATGGGAGCCCAGAGGATGGCTGCCAACTCTTTCACTCAGTGGTTACTTACTGCTGACCTGTTGTGGGCCAGGGGCCAAGAATACAGCATGGAGCAAAAACCGAGATTGCATCTCTGCCTTTATGGGGCTCACAGTCTACTTGTGAAGGGATGCTCTGGTAGGTAACATGAGGCAGTGTGCTCCCAGATGCAGCAGCTTCCGTAGGGATACAGAAGAGGCTCTGCATTCTGAAGGCCCCAGGCAGAGCCAGCCCTTTGAGGAAGCAGGAAAGGACTGCAAAGGGCAGAAGGGAGGTGAGCCCCTGTGTGTCAGGCAGCTCGAGCTGCTGCACCAAAGGGGCTGTTTCTGAGCCAGGAGAGGGTTTCCTCCTGACTGTCCTGAGAGACTCTGAGGGCACCCAAGAGTTTTGAGCAGGGGTGGTGTGATCATGAGGGCACCCAAGAGTTTTGAGCAGGGGTGGTGTGATCAGGGTGACAAGATCCAAGAATTTCAGGCTGGAGGTTGACAGAGACAAGCCCCTTCCTCTGCGGTCTGAAGTGTGGAGCATGTTAGCCCTCCACTAAGGCTCTGTTCCAGCTCCCACCTTTTCTAAGAGTCCGTGGCTTCTCCTTGAGGGCGGGACTTAGACTTTATTCTTGTTGGAACCTCCAGGGTGTTCAGGAACATGGGGACTGGATGTTGAGTGATCTGTGGGTGGGCTTGTGGGCTGTCACCCCTGGGGTTTGGAAGGACTTGCACAAAGATGGGAAAGGCCCGTAGGACTGCTTCCAAGAGGGCCCCCTGGAGGCTGCTGGATCTCAGCGCCAGGATCAGGCAGCCAAAATGGAACATCAGGTGGGTGGGTGCAGAGTACAGGTAGCTTTGAAAATAAGGTTGTTTTCCCCATTGTAAAAGCTTAGAACACCTTAGAATTTCGTGCTGCAGAAATAAGAAACATTCAGGTTGCCTCAAGAGAACCATTTTGATATATTCCCTTCCCATGTCATTGCTTTGTTTCACTAAATTTTGGTCAATTTCATATGTCGCTTCCCACGCCCCCCACTTTTTAAAGGAAAAGCTTCCCCCCAACCCCGCGTTACAACTCTTTAGAACCGTCACAGTGTTAAAGTTTTATTTATTCATATTAAGATATGACTTACATGCCATAAAATTGACTTTTTAAACTATACAACCTAGTGATTTTCAGTATATTCACAGCATTGTGCAACTATTATCACTAATTCCAGAACATTTTGTCACTCCAGAAAGAAACCCCATGCCCATTAGCAATCACTCCCCATTCCCTCTTCCCTCAGCCCCTGACAACGACTAATCTACTTTCTGTGTGGATTTACCTATTCTAGATATTTCATGTAATACGTGGCCTTTTGTGTCTGGCTCTTTTCACTGGACGTGATGTTTTCAAGGTTCATCACTTTGTAGCATGTGTCAGTACTTCATTCCTTATTCTGGTAGCTGAATAATATTCCATTGTGTGGATGGACCATGTTTTGTTTATCTGTTCATCAAAAGCCATCATTTAACAGCTGTGTGATAACCCTGCCATTTTTTTAAAAATAGATTTTATTTATTTATTTATTTATTGGCTGTGTTGGGTCTTCCGTGGCTGTGCGTGGGCTCTCTCTAGTTGCCGAGGACTTCTTATTGCGGTGGCTTCTCTTGTTGCAGAGCATAGGCTCCAGGCACGCAGGCTTCAGTAGTTGTGGCTCGCAGGCTCCAGGGCGCAGGCTTAATAGTTGTGGCGCATGGGCTTCATTGCTCCGCGGCATGTGGGATCTTCCCGGACCAGGGCCCCATGTCCCCTGCGTTGGCATGCGGTTTCTTAACCACTGTGCCACCAGGGAAGCCTCTGCCATTTGTTGTGGGTGGTTTAAAAGTGGGATTTGTGTGCTGACATGCTGCTGACCCGAAGTGTTTTTTGGGGGGTTGTTTTTGGCTGCACCGTGTGGCTTGCGGGGTCTTAGTTCCCTGACCAGGGATTGAACCCGGGCCCTTGGCAGTGAAAGTGCGGAGTCCTAACCACTGGACCACCAGAGAATTCCCCCCGAAGTATTTTCTTGTCCTTCATTGTCCCTGCCTTCTTTCTGTCCCTCCTGAGGGAGGTGCACACAGCATGAGGACAGGGCCAGGGTCACTAGAAGGCCCTGCTTGTTTAATGCCAAGGCTGGTTAGCAGCAGAACTTTCTCTTTCATATAAAATAACTTTTACTGCCTTCTCTCTCTCTTTTGTTTTTTAACTTTAAAGATAATTCATATATGTGGTAGAAAACCTGGCAAGTAGAAGAGAAGAAAATGAGGAAGGAATAAAATCAGTTGTAACCCTGCAACCCAGAGGCAAGTGCTGGTTGCATTTTGATGGATTTTTGTAACAATTTTTCAGTCAAATATATTTTTACATAAGTAGGACCACCCTGTAGATACTGTTTTATATCCTGCCTTTTTGTTTTTCATCTAACGTTGTGCTTGGTTGCTTTATTTATAAGAATTTAACTTTTCAGGACCACTCCATCTGCCTTATGGACGTCTCATAATTTATTTAACCAGTGCCCCTTGTTGACTACTTAGGTTTTTTTCCACTTTTACTTCATTAGAACGGATTT